AGGTATGACAGAAAGTTATTTGATACCATTTGAAATCCCACTTGCATTTTCATATTGCTCTCAGATGTAATTCAGGGACTTGATTTTTATGAGTTATGGCTCTGATGTCACTTGTATTTTTGCCCGTAATAGGTCCCACTGGAGCAAAATTCATCAGACTCAATTAACAGCATCTGAAAAGTGTATTTGGTTAGCAACCAATCAGGCAGAAATGGTGTGGGCTCTGTTTTAGCTGACCCATCACTCTGTGCCACTAGATGAAACCAGCTTTGCAGGCAGCAGTTAGCAGCCGCTGGAGCTCAGTTACTGTGAGAGTAAGGCAACTATTTTGGGGGCTAGTCAGCTGCTGGTTCTTCCTGTCCCATGGCTGCACCCCTTGTTATGGGTCTCAGAATACTCTGCAGCCATCTGGGCACCCTTCTCCTTTCTGCATGTGCCACCAGTCACTATTTTATTGTTGAATATCTTGATACTCAGGGATGAGTATTTTCTTTAAGCAGCCTGGTCTGGGAGCCCTGGGGCAGTGGGGTGCTCGTTCCAGGTGAGCTGCTAGCAGTGCTATGGGGGAATTAAAAACACACAATGCCAGGGCAGCAAAAAGAAACGCAAGGTAAATAAAAATAATTCCAAATGCACATATGAATTGAAGACTGGGGTTTGTAAGCTGATCTCACGTAGGATTTCTGCTCGGTTTGGTCACTTATTGGGGCTGGTGGATCTTTTGAAGGGAAGATAAATGCTCTGACTCCTGGCATTATTAATGCTTTGAGCTGGTGATTCATACATCTGATCTAAAGGGCTCCCAAAGTGAGAGACTGATCCCAAAACCTGCTGAACTGAACATGGGGCCTCATGGCAATTTCACAGGGCTTTGCACCCCATCCCGTGTGCTGAGTGGGAGCAGGGGCTGGCATCACTCTCACAGCCCCTGCTCCCGCTGTGACTCCATCTCACACCCTGAACACTCCTCATAAAACTCCCCCGTGTCTTAAAGGCCTGGGAGGGAAGAGCTGTGAGCAGAGAATCACTAAGTGGCCTGGAGCCCCCAGCACTGCTGGCTGCCCCCCCGTGCAGGCACAGCCCGCCCATCCCAGCGTGGATCAGGCTGTGTTCCCTTCCAAGCACAAAGCCGGGCTTCAAGACTCCAATTGCTTCCTGTCTCCCAACATGCCTGACCACAACTATTTTTAATTGTAAGGCATGAAAATAAGGTTATTTAATAAATTAATGCTTCAAATGCTTTTTGGTCCAACTTTGGCTGTTTATTAGGAGCAGCCTTATTTTGTCTTCTATGCAGTCATTTCCAGCTACCACTCTGTTTGATCCCCATCTTATTTCCTTTGTAATCTACTGATCTTCTGTTATTATCGTTGCTGTGTTTTATGGTTTTACATTACTTTATTGACTCAATATACTGCAGACTGCTTTTTTTTTTGTCCCCTCTTCACTGAAAATAGCCTTTTATGAGAAGCTTAAGCAAAAACTTGGAATGTCCAAAAGAAGGCACAGAAAAATTACAACATTTTGCACATTTCTTTTGGCCAGAGAAAGTTACAAAATATTCATATGAAGAAACTTATTCAGTGCCTGCAGGACAAAATCCAACTTTTGATAATATGTGGAATTTCAATTTCTGTTATAAACAGGCTCTGTATTTTTTGTATTTATTATTTTGAAGTATAAAGAGTTTTCTAGGGGGGAGGGGGAAGGCTTCTATAAAACTGATGTCAGAGCAATGATGAGTATGCATGCCCTCACTGCTGGGAATATGTACACTTCTGCACTGCCACAGCCTCTGTTGCTATCCCATTCCAAATGCTACCAACATTAGCAACCTAAACAGGATGCTGAGGGTCCTACGAGCCAGCAGCACCAGATGAAGTGACACCAAGGGCTGGGGGCTGGAGCCATGGGGATGGAAGGTGAACCCTCCTTTTGTTCATGCTGGGCCCTTTCTCCTGCCCCATGGACAATGAGCTCCTCTACAGCTGAAGGTTAGGTAGGGTCCTGCAGGAGCTCAGTACATGGAGCAGTGACTTGGGCCATCCTGCATAACCCCTGCCTCCCATCATCCTGCAGGGATGGATAATCATCCCTCTGCTCAGAGGACCAAAGCATGCTCTTACCTGGTTGTTCAGCCTCATCCACCTTCTTCGTAGAGGATATAACACCATGATTTGGAGGGATGCTTGGAGGAAGTCTGTGGCTGGTGGGAAGGATGGGACCTGGCAACTATCAGAGCTGTGAGTGATGGTTCATGCAGTGGGGAGGAGCTCAGGGCTGGCACAGAGGCTGCCAACAGTGCCTGGGCCCCAGCTGCTGGGGTAGAAGCAGAGGGATTTGGGCACAAATGGAGATGGGAAGTTCTCTTTGCTACTTGATTATATATGGTGGGAAAGGAGCAGCCCTACCTGCCTGAGATAAAGAAAATGAAGAAAAAAATACAAACCTGTTTGTGCCCAAAATATTGTAACAATTGTTTGAGGACTGTTTTATCTGTGTGAGAATATAACCCTGATTAAACATGCCAAGGTCAGTGAAAACAAAGGTGAATTGCAGAAGAAATGTGTGTAATTCTGGTCAGGAATTCACTGAGGGTGAAATGGAGCAGCACTCCCTGTTTTGCAGGGATGTATCGAAGTGTGGGTCTCACTTGCATCACCTCTCATACCTGTCCAGCCCCGCACAAACATCCTCCAGGGGACTGAGCTCCCAAGCACAAAGTGACGTTATTGGCCAAAAGGGCTGCCATTTGCAGCTCTCCTGAGCTGTTCTCCTGGGTTTGCCCATCCAAGCAGTGCTGGTGCTGGGTGGAAGCCCAAGCAGCGGTACCCACTGGCTTCCTGCTGCCCTCGGCAGCATCCCAGCCTGCCCCCGGTGCTCACAGCGCTCTCACCGCTGTACGAGCCGTGAGGCCACAGCCCGGACAAGCACTCGGGGCATCTCAAAAGGATAAAGGGCAGGAAAGGTGAAACTTCTTACAAACTGTAAGGATTTGGTAATTCCTCCAGAGGAACCAGGAAAAATTCAGCCTGCCCTTTGAGAAGCACCAAGCATCCTAGCCAGGTTTGGGTGCTGAGGTTGTCAAGATGAATCCCTCATCTTCATGGCACCGGTGCGAACCCTGCCCAAATTCCCGCGCCTTCTCCGTTCCCGCTACCCGGGGCCAAGCAAGCCTTGCACCTCGCGTAGGGGTTCCCGCCACCGAGCATCACGGCTTGCAGCGGGGAGGGCCCCTCGGTCCCAGCGGGATTTCTGCACCCACAGCGCTGTCCGGCACCGCTGTCCGTCTGTCCTGCCCCGCCGTCCGCACCGCAGCAGCGGCCCCCGCTAGGAGGCGCCCTGCCCGCGGCGCCGCCCGCACTTGTTGCTGCCCCCCGCGGCGCGCGCTGTGTCGTGATGCACGCGGCGCTGACGTCACCGCTGGCGTCATTATTAACGATCTCATTTATTTATTTATTTATTTGTTCGTTTGTTTATTTGCTTATTTAATTATTTATTTGTTTCCGTTTCACGGCGCCCCGCTGGGGCGGCTCCGAGCCTGTGCCCGCCTTTGCCCTCCTCCCCCTGGAATCAGGGCCTGCGGAGAGCGCTTGGGAGAGGAATGAGCCAAAAATTGGGAAGAAAGTGCCACTGCTGAGGAAAGCGCGGAGGGACATGCTCCCCGCGGAGCCGCTTTGTAGTGCTCCATCCCCCCCTGCCCCGCGGAGCCGGGGCTGGCTGCGCTGGCGGACAGTGATGGAGCCCCAGGGAAAAGGGCGAGAAGGACAGAGCTCCCCCAAAATGACCCGCCCGTCCTTGTCCAGGGGTGGGCGGATGGGGGCTCCGCGGGCGAGGGAGGCCGCGCAGCCCGCTAGCCGCAGCAGCATCTACCTGCGGGGATGCAGCTCCCGGAGCCCCGATGGGAACTTTCCGTGCCCGGCGCTGCGGGGCGGCCCTTGCGCCGCTGCGGGACCAAGTGCGAAGCCCGCGGTGCCGGCCGAGGCTCCCCGCGGCTGAGGCTCCCGGCGGCGCCCCGAGCCGCTCGCCTCGGGATAGCGGAGGGTGCGCGGGACGCGCGGAGGCGGCGGCTCTCTCTCTCCGGCGCGGGGCGCCGCCGCAGGGGGCGGGCGGGGCGCAGGTGAGGGGCCGCCCCTCTGGGTGGGGGGCGCAGCCACCTGTCCGCCGCCCCGCGCCCCTCCGCGCCCGCCCAGCCATCGCCCCGGGCCCGCGGCGGCAGCACCGGCACGTGCCGCTGCGCGCCCGTGTCCGCGGGCGCGGAGAGAGCGCGCCCATCGCCGCCGCCGCGCTCCCGCTCCCGCTCCCCCTCCCCCTGCGCTGAATGTTCCGGCCGAGCCGCGTCCCTCCGCGCAGCGCCATGAATATTGATGTGTTTATATAATCGATAACCCACTTTCCATCCCTTCCCGGGGAACAGCGATAAATAAATTAGGGACACGCCGCCCGCCCTCCGCGGCCGCCGGGGGGGCGGCAGGGGGGGCGCAGCCCCCGCCGTGCGCTCCGCGGCTGCCGGGGGTGGGAGCGGGATCGGGCGGTGGGAGCGGGCGGTCCCGCCGGGCGCGCGCGGACGAGCAGCGCCCCTCGCGCCGCAGGAAATGGTCTTTATATTAGACATATACGGGCAGGTCCTGTCAGATCCGCAGCGCGCCCGCCCGCCCTTTCGGCCCCCCAAAAATCGCCGAGAGCGGACAGGGGCCCCGCCGCCGCCCCGCCGCCTCCGCGCCAAGCCCCCGAGGCCCGCAGCCGCCCCGCGGCATTTTTGCCCGGCCCGGCCGGGCGTCGGGGGCCCGGCCGGCGTCGGGTGGCGCCGGCGGCGGGACGCGGCGGGGCGGCGGCGGGGCGGCGGAGCGGGGGGCGGGCGGCAGGGGGGGGCGTCGCCGCGCGCGGCGGGGCGGGAGGCGGCGGCGGCGGCGGGGCGGCGCGGGGGCGGCGGCGGCGGGGGGCGGCGGGCGGCGGGGCCGGCTTCGCCCTGCCAGGACCTGCCGGGCTCCATTCACGCCAACAAGTTTGGGAGAATGTTGAGTTCAATCGCGCCGGAGCCGCGATGGAGCGCAGCGCACTGCAGGTACCGCGCCGCCCCGCGCCCCCGCCCCGCCCCGCGCCCCCCGCCGCCGCGGAGCCCCCTCCCTCCCTCCCGCGCTCCCCTCCCGCCGCCCTCTTCCTCCTCCTGCCCCTGCGCGGCGCGGCGCGGAGCCGGCGCTGATGCCGCTGCCGTGTTGTTGTTCCCCGCAGTGGGTCGGCGCCCCGTGCGGCTCGCACGGCCCCTACGTCTTCTACAGGGCGTTCCGCTTCCAGCGCCGCGGCGGCGGCCGGGCGCGGGTCCTCTCCCTCGGCGACTTCTTCTTCGTGCGGTGCCGCGCGGAGGAGCCCGCCTGCATCGCGGAGCTGCAGCTGCTCTGGGAGGAGCGCACCAGCCGGCAACTTCTCTCCAGCGCCAAACTTTATTTTCTCCCCGAGGACACCCCCCAGGGCAGGACCAGTGACCATGGCGAGGTGGTAAACGCGGCGCCGGCCCCCCCTTCCCCCGCGCCCGTCCCCACCTGCATGCCCGGGCTCGGCTCCCCCCTCTCCTGGCTCCCCCCACCCGCGTCCCCCTCCCCGCCGTGCGTGGCGGGGCAGCGCGGAGGGGCCGCGCCGTCGGGGCGCACCGGTGCGCGCTGACCGGGAACTTGTGCGGGAGGGGGGAAGGAGGGAGGGGGTCGGGGTGCGGGGCGGCCCCGACCCGGCGGGCAGCGGAGTGTGTGCGGAGCTCGCCCTATCCTTCTGCTTAACAACAACAAAAAAAACCCAACAAAACAAAAAAACCCCGAAAGCAAAACACACGGAAAAGCGGGCGGGGGAAAAAACACGTTGGGGGGATTTCGATATTGTTCGGGGCTTTTTTTAAGTATTCGATATGTTTAAGAGGGCGGAAATTACGAAATGGAGGCAGAGGGAGATCAAACGCTCTCTTGCTGGCAGGGACGTGTTGAATAAAGTGATAAATGACAGGTAAGGGAATAATACATTCAAATAACTTGCAGATATGCCTGGGCGTATTTCGGAGCCGCCGCGCTCCCGGCGCAAACGCGCTGCGCGCCGGCACCCTCCGCCGGCGGCCGCGCAGCCCGGGATGGGGCCGCGCAGCCCCGCACCGCCCCGCCCCAGCCCCGAGCCCTCCCGTTATCTGCTTTTCAAATTCATTGCTTCAGTCTGGGGCGGGGGACGGGTGAGGTACCCAGGCAGGGGCCTGCGGGGATGGCGAGGGTCCCCGAGAGGGGCTGGAGACCAGGCGGGAGGGGGACGAGATGTTTTGGGGGAACTTCTGTTGGAGATGCCGGGCGTTGGGTCCAAGGGGGGGCTGTCCGCAGGGGCTGTTTCGGAGGCACGCGTGGCTGTAGGTGCCGGCGTAGCCGTGTACCCGCACACACGCGTACGCAGCCGAAACGCGTCTCGGAGCCACCTTCGCTCGCTGCCACCTCTTCACTTTAATTTTCTGTGCGTGCCGCTGAGATAAGGGAGCCTTTTCCTAAGAATCAGGGAGATGACAGTGAGCAATGGATGCTCTGAAATTGCCCGTGGTGACTATTTAAAACTGTGCCTCTGCGTGTCTCGTGTGTGTGTAAAATGAAAGATATTTGGAAGGGAGGGGGGTGGGGAAAGGGACACAAATCATTTTAATACGCCTTAATGATCAGCTCATGTTACTGTGGTAGGAACATCAGAGAAAATTAATCCTACCATTACGAGTAAAACACTGCTCCGGTACGAGAGTTCTCAGCTGCATGTACCTTCCTAATAATACGCACGATTTTATTTATTTTTACATGCAAACACCGCTGGTAATTAGCCGTGTGATTATACTTGTGCATTTCATTGCGGCTTAACTGATGTCATTCTGCATTATTCAACCATATGAAAACAATTTTCAATTAAGATAATGGCACGCCTTGAAATTATGCAAATGCCGGCCGTATTGTGTAGAATAATTATGACAAATGTAAAGCAGGTAAAAAGTTTCCTAATGCAGTTGTGTTTTACACCCCGGTGATGTCATTTCCCCTCTGGCCTAAGTTAGTCATTCATTAGCAGAGTAGCAGCAACAGCAACAGCTCTGAGTGATACTTCTCTGGCAGGGAGCCTACAGAAACCAGCACTGAGAGCCAGGGCCTAGAGAGGGCAACATAACACTCCCATTAAGAAATGTACTTTGTTTTCACTTACTCCATTAACTTGTTTATAGAAATAGGAATGATTTTTTATGATCGATTTTTAATAGTTTGGAACAATCCGAGCAGTGCTTGGGGATGTGCAGGCAGCAGAGAGACAAAAAGCTGGGTGCTGGCTGGCTGGGGTAACTGCTCTCATTGGGGGGCAGGGGCAGCTGTTTCCCCATGGCACTCCAAGGTCCCAGTCCCTTTGGTAAATGACACTCGTCTTGGTTCCCAGAGGGGCAGCAGGGCCGCCTCTGGGGTCAAGGGGCTTCCTAGCTCTGGCCTGGGCCCCTTCTGCAGGAGGAGATGTGGCTCTCGAGTCAGATGCGGCTTGTAGCCATCAGAGGGGACCTTATTTGTGGTGTGGGATTGCTGATGGGATAAAATACCTCATTGTGCATTCAGGGAGTAGGGATGGAGTGAGCCCGTGGTCAAGCGTGTGTTGCGAACCTGTGGTGTCCGAGGCAAAGGGTGACAGGGCTGTCACTGAAATGGCTGGGGAGGGGAGCAAGTGGCTGAATTGCAGGCTTGTGGTCGAGCCCACCAGAGATTTAGGCACAGTCTCCAGCAGCTACCTGCGCTAGCGGCGTGATTAAGAGAAGCAGCTGGCTGCCTGTTTTCCGTAATAGCAGCACTGACACTGTGACAGTATTCAGCTAGTGGCTGCAAGGAGGGATGTAATGCTTCTGTTACTCACAAATTTCTGATGGCGTATTTTATCTGATTGCCAAATGTTTGAGCTAATCAGCAATAAGTGTAAATATAAGTCTTTTTATAGCTAGCTGAATTCATCATCCAGATTTAAATATAACCCTGAGTGCCGCTGAAACCGGATATTTCCATGCACTGCCCAGATCCAGGGAAGGTTCAAGCCCAGGTGTGCTTCCGCTTCAGTACCCTTCTTTCCACCTAAGGCTCAGCATCCCCATCACCACAGTGGAGAAACTCCCTTTTGATGCCAGGAGCTGACAGAGATTGTTTCCCAGGGACTCTGTGGATGGTGAATGTGGGATGGGTCTGCTCACATGCAGCAGGTACGGATGCTTCTGACCCTGATGCTCATTGCATCCCAAGGAGACATGCGTGAAGAGCATGTCCTGGGACCAGCTCAGGCATTATGCTCAGACCAGGGGTAGAGACACTTTTTTAAGAGCAGCAGCGCCTGGGAGGCCACTGCTAGGTGAACTAGAAGAGTTTTGTGCTACTTCACTGAAAACTTTGTTGCTGCTTCCAAAACAGGGTAGCCTGGGCACGCTGCTTCCCACCTCACCATCGAGCCCAGACACTGCAGCAGGTGCAACACTGGCCAGAGAGCCAGTGTCTCTTTTCCCCCCAGCAGGGAAGAAGTGATTCTCCTCCATCCTTACAGAGCCATTACCAAAACAGGGTCTTTTGGTGGAGGAAGTCACCACCTTGCCTTGATTTTCTCGTTGACTCTGGTCTGCTGGGGTCCCGTGTCACCTTCCGCATGGGCAGGGAAGATTTCCTTGACGGCAGGTGCCTCACACAGGGGTCAGAACACGATGCCTGGAGGCCTATGAAGATCCAGAGGGAGCACCTTTAAGGGCACCCCATTGTGTTTGAAACAGTTTGATGGGGTGCATGTGGAAAGCAGGCCCCCAGCTTTGCTGGCACCCAAGTGTGAGAAGCTGTGTGCTGTCAGAAAGTGCCTGCTCAGGTCCTGTGGCATTCAGGGGGCACGAGGTGGACTCACCCTCCAGCTCACAAGGTCTTGGCAAACCTTCCTCCAGCTCATTTACTGTTCTGTGCTCCAAGGGGTGGTGTGGGGCTGTGGAATGACTGACCTTTGCAAAAGCAGTTGTAGAGTAAAATGCTTGTTAGTGCCTTGTGCTTTCATGTTTTTAAAGGTGCTGGCATTAGTTAGACTAGGCTTAAAAATGCATTTCAAAGTTGATATCATTAAGTCCAGGGATGGTATTTGATGTGATGCATACAATTCCTAAAAAACCCTAAACAAGCAGCTAATTCATTTTGCATGGTATGACATTCCCTGCATTGCTCTGCATCGTGGTGAACGCTGCTTCCATTGAGGCTGGACTGTCAGTGGGGATCTGCCTTTGGTTCATTCATCAGCAGCAAAGTTTACTACGAACTCATGTTGATTTCATCTCTTCTCCCAAACTGGGGATCTGATGCAATGCTTTTCGCCTTGCAAATAATCCTTACTCATGCAAGCAATTTACATGAGTAAGCGTTGCTCATAGAGAGGAGAGGAGAGAGCTAGTTTCCTGTAATTATTTCCCTAGAAGTATTTTGCATTTTCAGACTAATTGGGGTAAAGGAAAAAAAAGAAGTCACTCCATAAATGTGTGTCATTTATAATTGCAGAAGAGATTCTTCCAGAAAGTTAAGGGAATCAGTGGTTTTGTTCTCTATTCAATTTGGGATAGATGCTGACAGCATCCCTCGAAAGCCTGGTTCATTTTGTTGGGGCTCTTGACTTGTGGGGGTCCTACCACAGTGCCTAAAGGTAGCATAGGCTGGTCCAGGCATGGTGTCTTGTAAGAGCACTGCTTTATTGCCACCCCCCTAGAAAAATGTGCTACTCCCTTTTTACAGTAATGGATTTTGGTTTTTTTTTACAGACATAGGAATCTGTACGCTCTTATTTGAAATGAGAATAGCCTCGTTTTAGCCTCCATGGTGTGTGCCTTATGCTCGTATCTGTCAACACTGGTAATGGCAACACGTTTCAAACATGCAGATTATGATTATTAAAGGGTGTTTTAAAATCATGCTAATAGCATCAATCTCCACTGTACACTTGCTCAAATTAATTCAGCTTTGGAAATCAGTCACACTGTAATAGCAGTGTTAGAGAAATGGCATTTGTCATAAAATATCGTGGGTTTGGTAATTGCATATCCACTCTGTATATTTTTATCTCTCTTGCCACCAGTAGCATATGCTGGCAAAGGAAGGACGGGGCAATGATATTACTCAGAGAAGCCACATGTTGCTAGCCATTAGCCAACAATCTGAAATATCTAGTCATTTAAGGCAGATTCCTTAAAAAAAAAAACAAACCCAACTTTTTATTTTATTTCCTTTCTCCTTTCCCTCCCCTTCCCTGTGCATTCAGACTGTAAAATACACCCACTGCTTTCCAGAGTTGCTGTTCCCAGTCTGATCAGTGGCACTAAACATTAAACTCTTGTCTTTGGAGAATAATAGGCCTCACATGGTACACCCTCAAGCATGTTGAGATACTGTGCAGGCTGGAAAATAAAAATGTTCTAATTGTGTCTTTTAAATAAGCATAGGAGTGAATTAATTAGA